AGCCACACACATGATTGTCCTCCCCCCCACCCCTATGGTCTCCCCAACATTCCCCTGTCTATAAGCTGCCCTCCCCACCCCCCAAGTTAGAGCTGAGCTGCTACCTGCTCCCAGCCGGTGCTCAAATCCAAGATAAGACTTTTTCTTCCCCATGATGACTGGGGTAAAAAATCTCATCTGGATTTAATATGGTATTTTTACAGAGCATTTTTTTAAAAAATGTTTCAGCTCTGATAAAATATCTGTGTTACCAATAATAATGTCCTTCACTGAGAACTCTGTACCTGTCACTTTAATGGAAAACTAGGCTCATATTTATAATTAGTCTCCTAGTAGGTTCCTTCTTTGTTGGTTCTTGTTAGTCACACATTCAGCTCTGAACATTAAGCAGGTACCTCTGTAATATCAGTAACCACCATTTCTTAATATTGCCAGAAATAGCACATACACTTTTTTTATTGCATAGCAGGCCAAATTCTTATCTCTGTTCCACTGCTGTATCCTTTAGTAATATTGTTAAAGTCAGTGGTGTCACAAAGATCACGATTTGATCCTGGGCCATTACTTTGCCTCAGTTACTCACTTGAGGGCCAGCAGAACTGTATTACATTTCAACTAAACTTTGTTTATTTCAAACATTTTACTCTCCACAAAATGTCACACTTCAGCTATGTCACTATTATACAGATCACATACTGTCAAGACCTAGGTGGGTGACCTTGTTAACTGTAGAGAAATGCAAGACTGAAAGAGTCCGACTCCAAGTTGTCATGAATTTTTGTGGTCTGGAACAGCAGTTGTCTTGAGCCCTTGCCATCAAAATGAGCTGAAGACATTTTCTCATTTGGAACTGCCAATTTTTTTTTGTATCTTCCAAACTTTACGAACCAGAATTTCCAGAAGTATAGCCTACAAAATTGCTCTGACTTTTGAAAGGTGGGAGAAATGTATTTACTTGCATATTTTGATTTGTATAAAGTAATTATCCTGACAGTTTTGCCTTTGCATAAAGTACTTATCCTGACAGTATTAATAGTTGTTAGTTTTTTAGCAATTAAAATGAGCAAAACATGGATATCAAATGTTAAATATATCCATAAAAATCTTCTTGGACTGTTAAAAACTTGACAGCTTTTGTAGGTCCAGATAGCATCTCTACTGATACATTAGCTTGTTGGGGTGATGCCTGGATTATTTTTTGAAAGAGCAGAGCTGTCTAAACTGACTGCATGGGAAACATTAGCTTTTAACAGATGGTTGTTATTTTATCCTTAGCATGTTGGCTCATAAGGGTATGAATCTGGTTGTCTTTTTTAAAACTCTACTGTGCTTTATCCATGCTTTTTGTAAGGCTGATAAGAATCTGGAATGAATGAAAACTAGACAGGCACTCTTTGGATGGTCCTCTAAATCACGCATGTAGATCAGGAGTAGGCAACATTTTTTGGCCGGAGTGCCAAAAAACACCACAGTGCCTACC